ACGATGCATTATTTCCCGCAGCATCATAAAACGTTCGTAAGCATACAATTTTTGATGCAATTCAAATTACATAATAGTTTTTCATTGATTTATTTATTTTATTGGTGCAATTTACTCCCCATTGAACAAAGTAAAAGTTCAACAGGTAATAAGAACGATGTGCGTTTAGCAAATTGAGTGGCTGTATTAATTAAAATAGTGCTATATTTTTCACGCTACCTCGGCGTATACTGGGCATGTATTAACTATACCACACACACCTCTCAGTTGTTATGAAATTTCAAAGTATCAATTCGCACTCTACTGCAGTGTATAATACGCACGTGTTAACAGCTCACGCACCATTCAACCGTATTGGAGCCGAAACTATTAATTTGCACTCTACTATACAGCGTATATAATACGCAAGTGTAACGGCGCATGCACCATTCAGCGTTATTGGAGCTGAAAGTATCGGTTCACACTCTACTGCAGCGTATTACTAGTATTAATACGCATGTATTAATACTGTGGTGAGGGAGTGAGGGACTGTGTGAATTCCTTGTATTAATTACCACTCCTGGCGTCTGGTGAGTCTCTGGCCTGCCGGTGGACGTATTTCCTGCACCGATCTGTGGGCAGTGTGAGTATTAATTTTGTATTAATATGAGTAGAAATAACATTAATATTGTATTAATATGATTGGAAATAATATTAATATTGTGATTAAAGAGGAAATAATGATATTGTATTATTATTTATAATTACAATATTGATATCGTATTAATATTAATAAATTCAACATCAATATTGCATCAATAATAATAAATACAATAATGATTTTGTATTATTATTGATAAATACAATATTGGTATAATATTAATATTAATAAATTCAGTATTAATAATGCAGCAATATTGATAAATACAATATTAATATTGTATCAATATTAATATATACAAAATTGACGTTGAATTAATACTAATAAATTCAATATTAATATTGTATTAATTTACGCTCTACAGCGACAATACCAATCACATTCTCTTCTGTATTGAAGGCTGCACTTCATTATATTGTGAGTACTTGTGCGGTATATTGTACAACAATGAAAAAAATTACAATCGCCTTTGCTTCCGGATTGCATGCTTTACTCCATTACGATGTGACACACTGTATCACCGAGAGAAATGTGTGAGACATTGTACAAATAGCTATGCACTTTTCCCCAAGTGAAGGTGAACCTCACCCGGTCGCCTAGGCAGAATGGCTTATGACAAATTCAATGACATATGACTAACTGAATTTTTTTAATGGGTCATATGGATCCATTCAGCAAAAAAAACGTATTTTAATTGGAAGAATTCAAGTGTTTATTATATAAAAACTATTAAATTATGTTCGTGGAAATTACTTACGTCTTGTTACTTATTTAATATACCTCTTCAGAATAAATATTATCGGAGATTGTCTAAGCATTATTGACCTCTTACACAAGATAAAGTAAATATCACGTTAATACCTCATTGAAAATCTAAACGATTATTATATTAAGCACCATTTGTAACATTTTTTTAACAATTAATTAATTAGCTTCAAGCTAAATAAATTAATTCGGAAAGGCTACTCTAATTCAATTCGCGCTGAAATGTTTTTTCTGATTTGATGTTAGCGGCAGATTTGTTTGAAAATAGCATCAGGACTTTGGTATCAAAGTTATAGATTTATCATTACTGTTTGCAATGATACAACGTCAATAAAAATACACAAACATGATTATTTAACCGCCACTCTAGATCAATGTTGGGGTTGTTTTATTCTGTTTATAATACAATTTAGACTGGCTACCAACAGGTCTATGATATATAAAAGCAAAAAGTAAATTTCATTTCTCAGCTTATTACAAATCAATTGTGAAGAATGTTACGATATCACAGGTTTTAACTTTCATAAGGTCAAACTATTGTTATACAGAATTTCAATTAATTCTGTGATACTCAGCACTCATTTAGTTCAAACTTTTAGTCTAAACCTTGCATTTGCTCAAGCCTAAATTATCACTAAGTGAAATGAGATAATTTTTCCATATAGTAATGCACTTTTTTAGCGCATTTTCTCATTTATGGAAAAAAGGTGCTTTTGTGCTCGTCATGTTCGCCCATCCGTCCGTCCGTCTGTCTGTCTGTCCGTCCTTCTGTACGTCCGTCCTTCTGTACGTCCGTCCGTCCGTCTATCCGTGACTTCACGTTTTCGTCGACGAGAAAATGCGCTCTCTGTCACTCACTGCAGTGAGTACTGAGTTATATTTTTCCGTAGTGTAGGTCATTCTGACACGGTTTGGACCGACACAACGGTTTTTCAGGGCTACGTGCAGAAAGTGTGTAACTACTTGGACATACGATCCATTTATTTTTTTGATTGTTGTATGCCACTGCATTTTCCTACCCGCATTCCTGCCGTGCATACCGGACCCCCCCTTCCCCCCCACCCTCCCACCACCACACCTGTTTACCCTCCACCTCAACCACACCTGTTCACTCGCAACGTAACCAATCCTAGCCATTGAATATAATTTTCATCGAACTGAAAATATTTTAATGGGAAATTTGAAGACATGCTTTCTAAATGTACTCTAAATTTAATATTAACTACTTCATGTTTTCTTCTAGTTCTAAATACGAACTAATTGTTTAATAAATTAGCATAATATTTTCTTATGCTAAAATTAATGAATTATGAAATTTGACCCATTTACTGAATTTATTAATTATAGAAATAATTAAAGTAACTCTGAAATGATGTAATCAATTTTCCACTGTAGGATGTGTCGGCAGGGTAATGCTCGAAAGTCTACGGTAAGCTAACTTTACATTACAGTTAAATTAAATTCCGCTTACTACTTATGATGAATTTTAACCCTTAATCGACCACACATTTTGACAGCGAAAAATGCCACATAGCATCCATACTTCTTCAGTGAAATTTACTCATCGAAAAAATTCGACAATGTGCATCTGGTCAGAGCGCAGCTTGTAATTAAAGTCGATATATATTTCCAATTGGAGAATGAGCTTCATGCATAAACAAAACCGCTATTTTGAAAGGTGACATATACATACAGCTAGACACTGAAGGTTTAAGTTTGAAGGAATGAAGATTAGGTTTTTTAAGTCAGCCACTTAACGACTTACTAATCGCAGGAACAAAATATTATTGAAGCGTCCATTTGAAAGTAGGACTATTAGTAAACTCATATATTGCCTGCATAATCCGGTTATCAGAGTATCAGAGGCGATTGATAGGTCCTGTGACGATTGATTGTCCATTAGTTGGTGTGTCCATGTTCAGGGTTACAGGGATTGAGTTGCCTCTTTCGGTTACCAAATCTTCTGCTTCCGCACGTGTTCTCCTTCTTAACCCTCTGCCGCGTGACACGAGTAACCGGAGCAATATTGTCACAAGCCTACTTCTAAAAAAGGATACGTTCTAGTGAGCGCAAAATGACTTGAGTAATCAATTGAGTAATCAATTAAAGTAAACTAACATCAAAAGATCCTCAAATCCAGTAAATAATTTGTTATATTCTTTGTTGCTGGATCTTGTGATGTTAGTGTAACTATTTTTAGCGAACCTTTTGTTAGCTTAGTTTTCATAGTCTATTTTTTATGCGCTCCTATGATTTGCTTGTTTATCCGACCTTAAGAGTGTGTAGATAGCCGACAACGTATCAATAGTTTCATGTTAGCTCACTTCGTAACCCACGTCAAAACTGCCACAATATTTCGGTGCGTAGATTTATGTCTTCATATAAGTTGTTTATTGTTGTGATTATTATTTGTTATATTTGAATATTATAAGCATACAATGAAGTCTATTAGCGCTAATATATTTGTTTGTTCTTACAGATACAACCTTTTAATCCAATAAACGGGATATTTGTTGTTGAAACCGTGGTTATCCTTAAAAACGCGGACTTACGTCAAACCAAAACCCAACAAAACGAACAGCGTTTTACGGTTAGTTTACTTTAATTAATTACCCAAGTAAAAGAATATGTATTCTTCCTCTTCTTTCTTTTTCTTCGCAATTTAATTAAGATATATCTTTTTTAGTAATATTGCTGTATTGTCGGCTTATGTTTACTACATATATAAGGTACATGCAGTAAGTTAGTAAGTAAGTAATGCAGAAAGTTTAGACTTGTCCCTCATCTCGTGGACCGCGCATGTCACGCGTGTCAACGCAGTTGAGAAGGAGAACGCGCGGTAGCAGATTTGGCTACCGAAAGCGGCAACTAAAGCCATGTAATCCTGGACGTGGACACACCAAGCCGACATCGGACCTATCAATCGCCTCCGATACTCTGATAGCCCACATGAACTGGACCTCAATGACTTTCCTTTCATTCGACCGCCTGCCAATCCCATCACACTGCAAGCTCACTATCATCCGATAGTCAGCTAAAGCTGATGGGCAAAATTATTTCTGAAACCGTATACATTGCGGGAACCGTATACTTGCTGAAATCGTATACATTGCTGAAATTTTCACTTTCACAAATTTTCCCACAGAGATGCAGAGAGCCGAGCAAATTCCGTCAAATTTTTATCACCAATCAGAGCGCTGCAATGCAGCGGTCGCCCAGGGCCACCGCCAAATCTAGAACCGAAATATCTTATCATCTTCATCAAACTTAGGATCATAGTCCGCATGAATCAATGCATCCCATATATTATTGACCTGAATACAAAATATGAACTCAGTTGAGAAATATTTTGACAAATAAAACTGTAAAACTTGCTATTTCACTTGAAGTTAGTTAAATTCCCAGCCGATTTCGTTTAAGCGGTTACTAATTTTAATGTATTCTGGGAGAAAATATTTTTTATTTTGAAATTAAAATGGCTTCTGTGTTAAAGAGAATAAAATTTATTAAAATAGACGTTACGTCATTTTCACGAAATCTTTACCTGGAATACACTCAAAAAGGTTTTAAATAGTATGAAAAGGTGTTGAATAGTATGGATGTTTGTCAGGTGATCTTGTCAGGCATTCCCGGGCAGTCCAAGGCGTCCGTCAACATGTCGTCCCTCTTCCTCGCCTACATCCTATCCAGGTGACTAACAGTGCTGGCTGAATCATGTTTATTCGGCACCGCTGAAGTATGTTGCTCCATGCACTGAATACATAAAGCAAATTTCATTAATTGGCCCTGAATAGCAATACATTTCAGTGCAAACACATTTCGCCCTCGTATTAACTACTACCGAGCTTTGGTGCATTAATTAAGTTTATTTTAAAGCAAAATGCAAGCTCTACGTATGGCGTATGCCATATAGACCTGCAAAGTGCTAAATCTTACCCAGGGTGTGGTGGTGGTAGTGGTTTGGTGCCACTATGAAAGAGATGAAAAAAGCATGAGTGGCCAGACAGAGGAAGGAGAAATGGAATAGGCAGTAGATGAAAATATGCGCTTTGCGCATAATTTGGTTGGCTTAGTTTATGGGTGTAGGTTTGGGTAGGGTGGAGGATGAGAGGGAACCTGTCAGGACTTGATTGATCTCAATGAGGGAGTGAAGGGTGAATTTTTGTGGTTCTGTATTTACGGTTTGAATTTAAATAAAAAGAAATACAGTTTTTTGTAACTTCCTATTTACCCGCGCTCCATTTTTAAGGGTGAATTTATGGTAATGAAGGTGGTGATGATAATGAGAGTGGTGATGATGATGAGCAGGGTTGCCAGACGTTTTTTTTGTAGACAAATTCCACGATTCAGTTTATTTTTTCAATTGCGTTGGCCGGCTAAAATTTATGATAGGGGTGCTTCCTATTTAAGTTATAGAAACTGCACAGAAAAAGGAGTTTTGCACCCAAACACACCTATTTACTAGTATATATTGAATTTTGGCCTTTTTTGCTTGCGGATTTGGCACTTTTTTAAAGCCATATGACAACCTTGATGATAAGAATGAGTTACTCGAAAGTCTACCAACGGACAATCGTAGGTTAGGAATTGAAGTTGCTGGTTGGCGGTAGGTTTTTGCAAAGTCTTTCGTGTAAGTAACTGGGTGATTTTTCGTCTGTCAGTAATCGTAGTCGGAGTTCCGGCCATAGCACCTGCCCTAACAAAATTTAGAGCCGCCCCAGCTTCTGGTAACCCAAATCAGAAGCTGCCGCGCCTGTAAATTTTCACTGGGTGGGAGCGTTCATTGGATAACAGACGACCGAGCGCAAACGGACCGGGGTGTAGGTGGTTAGGGTGTGGATGTTGTTACGTGAACAGTGGTTGAGGTGAGGAACCTAATGCGCGTTGTTTGGGGCTTATAGATGACTGATATTTCCTTGAAGTGGCGTCTGGTGAAAATATTAGTTGGTCAAAGAGCTGAGGATCGTGTATTTTCATTGTAGACAATGTTTTACGAGCTCGTTAGTGGAGAACTGTATATGTGGCAGTTATGTTGCATTGATCGTGTGATGTTCGTGAAGGTATGAAACTGGACCAGTGGGCATGAAAACCCTGGAAGATGTTAAAAGGAGGGAATGGTGTAGAATCCAAACCCCGCGTGCGCCAGTTAAAATACAATAGCAAAGAAGCCACGGGATAAGCCATGTGTTGAAGACGGTGGGATGCGCGCAGGTGTGACGGTGTATGGGCCAAGTGTTCAAAGTCGTGAGTGCATTCATGCTACATTCACGGCTTTTTTCATCGAACTAAAACCTCCATTTTGCTCCATATTGTTTCGTAATTCAAATAATGCATTATTTTATTCTCATTTCATTTTGGAGCCGAAATGATTATTTAATACTTGTTAATGATGATAACAATTAAGTGGTACCTTTCATCCTGTACCTTAACTATTTTTTCAGCCCGTCACGAGTGTCTAATAAAGATATGCCTATGAATTTCGTAGAGCCTATGAATCTAGTGCTTATAGTCATTTTATCCGTTCCTATCCTTTCTTGTGTCTATTTATTTTTCGCTTGCTATTAATCTGACGTTCGACGTGCCCTCGAAGTTCGTTTGAACCAGTGTAGTGTTAGACATTTTGCGACTTTTATTTTGTAATAAAATCATAATTTACCTTTACCTTGGCAACACCGTTAGGAAGTTAACGTCGCGCACACAATTTTCTCGTTAATCATTATCGTTCGGCTGATCCCCGATGCGATTTAGTTTAAGCTCTAATAGGCTCCTTTTTATTGTCTGAATAATTGTTATGTTGTATTATTATTTCTTTATTCATCTTCAACGACGATTATCTATTCGATTACTCTTCAACAGATACGCACGTTGCCAAGGGTATTATTATTTACACTATTTTTCCATAGATTAATATTTATATCCAAAGCCCACCTTGTTGTTAATTTGCCTTGCATTAAAATCTCAGTTTCAGTCGTTTTCATTTACAATCCTGTTGTTTTACTCTGTGGGTAATGACTGGCACTTACCCCATACCAGACGCCACGATAAATGCTTCGTAGAATAATAATAATATGACGACCGGATACTAGATAAATTTTTCCTGTAAAGAATTCACTTGTACATTATTTTTTAATCGCCTGTTTTTGTTGAGTGTGTTCAAGTTCGCTTCCTCTAATTATTAATAAATTACGATTGTTTCATCCATAAGACTCGATTACTATGAGAAGAGTTCGTGCTTAAGGTTACTTATGGTATTTAGTACTTATTTGTTTTTAAATGATTAGTATTGTCTAGTCATTCTACTGAAGGGCTTGTTTTGTGAACACTCGTTTAGTATTTATTAAAAAAAAACTAATGTGTCTTTTTACGATGTCTTTTACATTTAAAGGTAAAAGTTTTTATGGCACTGTCAATTGAAACACGCACACACTATTCATACCTTAATTCCATTCACGTATTCTTATCTGAAATAGAAAAATAACTTAAAAATTGCTGTTTTATAACCCTCGATTCCAGTTAACCCTGATTCCAGTTAATCCATTAAACCTGATTTATCCTCACAGGAAAAGACTCCATGCAGTTAACGTTGATTCCCATTTCCATTCCTCTTGACCTTTAGCATGCCAAGCATTATTTTGCTGTAATATGTACGACTTTGCACTTATATTAGATTATTATCATATACTTTAGAATATATGTTTCTTGCTCGATCGTGCACACTGCTTTTCGTGGTCGACGAACGTAGCTTACTGATTTCATATTTTCATTTTAACGTAAATAATCAGAATTCTGAAAAATTGCCGGAATTAACTCATATTTTTAAGTTTTATTATCATGTCACTTCTAGAATCTAATGTACTTTCCTCATATGGATAAATGAAAGAAAATATCATACTTCGAGATTTATGAACGATTTACCTTGCCAATTACTACAACGGCTTCTTCTTTCCCCAATATGAGCAATTTATAAGTCGCTGAACGCATCGATTTAGGAATATGCAGAAGTAAGCTTCATGGCATGCAAACAATATTTTGATATTTTTCCAATTTCCTGCAAATAAAATTTGATATAACATTTGAATCAATGCCCTTAGCGAAGTGTCCTGATGCCTTAATGCAATTCCTCTAATGAAGCTCAAGATATTTTGGTCCATATTGACAAAAAATGTTTACAGCTTAACTACGAGTGCAAGTAAAGAATTTGTTAGCCATAATTTAATTTTGAATCTACCAAATACCGCTCCAAATAATTGCTAACGGCATCTTTCGCATTATTCACAAATTGAATGCAAAGATTTTATATTATTATTACTAGTTGGTTTCATCAGAATATTTTATGCATTTGTAATCAATGCTCGTTTTTCTCTTTATTTCATTCACGCAAAAATTGTAAATGCAGCCACCTTTGTCATGAACATCCTTGGTGTAATTTTAGTTCAATTAATATTTGGCATTGTCTATAGGAACTTTAACAGTAGCCTTTGTTGAAGTAGATATGTAACTAATTGTTGTTTACATCGTAATTGTAGAGGTTGTGGATGATAGTATTTTATTTCTGTCAATTTCACAGGTGGAAGAGTTCGTCAGATTTCTTTGCCCACTTTCGAAAATCTAATTCATTTATAAGTTTCGATATTTTTTTAATATAAATGGTAGGCACTGAACGATAGAAATGTTGCAAGAATTTTTTATTCTATTCTCTAATCAGTCTAATGTAACGTTTTGTACAAATAAAGTGGCATTTACATTCATTTATCTTCATTATGAAGCAATTCTAATTCAGTTTATATATTGATTTTTTTAGTTCTGTTTATTGATACATTCTTGGATCCCAACGTTTATATATTAAAAGTATCTTTGGCTACGCTTGTACATTTATATTAATTTGAAGTTTTAATTAAATTAATTCTCCAAAAAGAGAGAAAATAAGGCTAGTATATTTCAAAGTTGGTGTTATAAATTTGACTCTGTCGGTTTGAATCATAACAAAAACTGCAGATGGCTGATGAATGAATGAACAATAAGGAAGTGATTCTATGTAAGAGCTTGTGGAGACTTGTATTTATTGAAGCAGCATCCTGTTTTCTTATTAATTGTATTATGCTTTGTGCTGACTAGCTTCTTAGCTCTCAATTTGTTTTGGTAGCGATTAGCTGGTACATTTACAAGTTTAAAAGCTGCTCGTCGCTTATTCTATATGGCACTCCCATTTTTTCACTGGCCAAGTAGAATATTTTTTCTACAAGAGGTTAGCTAACAATATTATGAAATAGTGAACTAAAGTTCATTTTTTACACCGATAGCAGTAGATGAAGAGTAAAATAGCAATTGACGAAATGTTTTTAGGTTTTCATGAGGGTTCAGAAATGTGTGAAATAAAAATATGTATTTTATTCATATTTTCCGTCTACGTCCATCTACTTCGTCCACCCGTCTACGTCCATCTACTCCGTTCATTCTTATTTCCGACAATACGTCCATCTCACCCAATACTCTTCGTATTGTCCATCTACTCCTCGTATTGTCCATCTACTCCTCGCATTGTCCATCTACTCCTCGTATTGTCCATCTACTCCTCGCATTGTCCATCTACTACTTGCATTGTCCATCTACTCCTCATTTTTTACCCAAACCCCACCCACCTCCAGCTGCCAGATCAACTGTCCGTGAGGGTACAGACGTGTCAAGACTCCATCCCTCTACTCCTCTCTATCACGCACGTCTCTGACGACCCTCGTCCTCCCCTGAACACGTCCCCTCATATCGTCCACAACAGAGCTGCCCTCCAGTGAAAATTTACAGACGCGGCAGCTTCTGATTTGGATTACTAGAAGCTGGGGCGACTCTAAATTTTGTTACCCAGTGAAAATTTACAGACGCGACAGCTTCTGATTTGGATTACCAGAAGCTGGGGCGACTCTAAATTTTGTTACCCAGTGAAAATTTACAGACGCAGCAGCTTCTGATTTGGACTACCAGAAGCTGGGGCGACTCTAAATTTTGTTAGGGGCCAGTCTCCACGCCTGGCTCAAGAGGCTACAGTTCAAAATGGGACAAATTGAACTGCAGTTCTACTTCATGTAGAACTTAGTTCTACTCCGGCGGCCACTCAGTTCTACCCCATGTAGAATTCGATGCGAAACTTCACCATGTTTTGCTCCATGTCAAAAGTGAGAAGTGCCATAAATGTTGAAGATAATAATCATCATAATAAGATCCCGCCCTTGCATCATTGTGGCGCTGTCGAAGCAGCGTGATTTTAAAAATTTCCGTATGAGGCTGAGCATTTAGATGCTATGTAAATTAAAGTAGCATCATTTATTTGAATTTGGTCAGCTGTGTCGTATATATTTAAAGAGATGTGATAATTTACGAAGGTGCAAGGAGTTACGGCAGTGCGTTAATTAGCTGAGATTTGGGCGTTTTATGTAAAAATTTGCGTCAATTTAGTAATTTATTTTTACGCTGGAATTTTTGGTTTTTTATTTATTAATTTTTTTTGTTGGAGTAATTTTTAGGTGATCCTGGGGAATTTAATGTGAGGGTGGCATTCTCAATCTTGTGGGTAATTACGATGGCGATGAAATTAATTTTAACCTTGTGAGAAAAATTAGTGATTTTGTTTGTGTATATTTTCTGTTGACATCAAATGTGTTGTATGTATCTCGGTTACTTGAGTGTTCGTTCGCTTATAATAACTGGAATTTTAGGGAGCAAAAATATTACGAATGATTAATGTGCATTGATTGTTTTTTTGTTCCTGTCAGCTTATTATGTTGAAAAATATTTGTCATAATAAAAGAAAAGTGTGAGAATATACATGATAGCAATGATGGATTTTTTATGCGAGATATTAAAATAATACGAATGATGAAACATTTAAAATATTATTATAGTGATAATTGTTTATTGGCGATCATTAGGTTGTTCAAATCTTATTCATTAGTTGAACTTCAACGTGAAAGTTCAATGCATCTAATGCTGTGAGTTGTAGATATTTATTCTTAAAAATTTTATGTATATATAATACTCGTACATCATTTCATTCCTGTCGGGTAAAAATTTCTCTAGTGTTTTTATATGAGATTAAGAGAATCTTCATGTCTCGTCATCGTCCATCGTTCGGCGATAAATGGAGTTTTTGCGGTAGCCAAAGAATTCATAGCGCGAGCCTTCATTAGATATTCAAATAGCGAATTTTACAGCATTATTTTACAAATATCATTAGTGAATATTGTTCTTTGAGATTAAAGGTCGATGAAATTCTATACGGGATTGCAATACTACTGATATATTTTTATAAATCATCTCCATATGTCACTCAAATTACTTGGTAAAAAATGTAAAATAAACGAATTCCAAATCCTTACAAAATGATAAAATTAAAAATGCAGTGAGTGACAGAGAGCGCATATTCTCAAAATCGACGGAAACGTGAAGTCACGGACGGACGGACGGACATGACGAGCACAATAGCGTATTTTTTCCATAAACTAGAAAATGCGCTAAAAAATACTTAACTGAAGCTAAACTGGCATAATACAGTTTTTAAAAAAAGCGGCAAGCAGCAGAGTCATTAGCAGCTTCCATCTGTCGACAAACTGTTAGACAAGAGCAGCGGTTGTCTGCAGTTCTCGCCAAAAATGTTAGTCGAGAACGAAACTCTACCGCAGTCGGTGTCCTCTAAGTGGAACCTGTGTAAAAAATTCCTACCGTTGTACATGACTATTAGAAACGAACGTCGAAAAACTGGAAAGCCTTAGCAATGTCATTGATGTAATTGTTGCTTAGAATCAATGTCATCAAATAATAATAACGATTGCTCTAAAGATATTATTTTGAGGTTCATCCTAAGGTTTTAACTACTCGCATTAATTAATGCTTTGAATGCACTGGATAAAATAACAACCCGACTAAAATTAAAATTAGAACCGTGGTAGCTCTTTGGCATTAATCATCACGAACCTCGTTAAGAACTATACACTGAAGATATCAGTATCTCCATAATTCACATGGATGAAAAATCTGTAAGGAAGCTACGAGAGGTGCCTGTGGATTTTGATTTCTTACCATCACCCGTATATCAAATGAAAATTAATTAAATCTCAAAGCCAAATTTCCACTGAAAAAGCTAACAATTCAGAACTTTGAATTAGTTTGAAAAATAGAGAACATTGCGTGCAGATCAGAATCGTGTTCAAGAAACATTACAACGGTGGCAAATTTAATGAGTTGAAAGTAACCCCGGAGCATTAAAAAAAGTATCAATCTGCATAAGATAGCAATTGAAGGGAAAATTTGATTGACGCTAACCTCGGGTCATCTTCCTTCTTCTAATATTTTTTTTTTCATTTCGAAGATTTTGGACATTGCGTTTTTCGTTTTATATCTTTTGGACCTTGCGGACGATTGGTGGCGTTAAGATGAATATTTTACTTGTCATTACCGTATGCACTGTCCCGTATTTTTGGACTGCGAATGGTAAGTATAGCTGTTATTACTTATCCTGCAAATTTTATAATTGATTTAAAGTTATAATTTGGCTAACATTATGATACTTTTCAATTAAAAAACTGTCATTTCTCAAAAATTTCAAATTTTTTGAAATAAATGTTCATAGTTTGCTTAATGGCATGTAAGTTTACACTGATACCAATTTTATAGAATATTAATAATTACTCACACGGTATACTAATTATTTTACAGGCTGGCAGCGGCTTACCTACACCAATCCTGTAATGAACCACTTACAGGAAGACGGAAAATCTCATCTCATTCCCTCAAATGACCGAAATGCCGAGGTGTGGCCAACGAAATATTCGCACGAGTCTTCCAAAAACGTGAATTCTGGTCAGGGAATTGCATCAAAAATTTATGAATTGTCCCGAAAATTGAATTTTAAGTCAGTGCCACACTTATCGAATGATCATGAAAGGTTGATGAATGAAAATGAATTAACAACTAAAGTTCATCTCGGGACAACGTCTCATGTCACTGACAATCGAGAAAGCGTAAGAAATGAAGAAAAAGTTGCTATTGAATCGTGGAATGAATCGCCAGTTTATTTTGAAAATATTTCAAGTATATCAGAAAAAGCGGTGATTCATCCCCAAAAGTCAGAAGACGAAACAAAACTTTCCTCGGACGTATTTTCTTCGACCAAAACAACAGACCAAGAGATTGGGTCTCCGAGCAGAAAAAAGTTATTACAATATAAGGATACTTCCTTGCTCATTTCCAGCTACCGTACAATCAATAACAAAGAATACGATCAAGTGAAAAAATTTTCCAATAGACCAGCAAACTTATCCACATTCATGCATTTAAATAACAATCCATTTTATGACAATATGACTTATGAAAATTCTTCCCGGAAAACTAAACAAATCCAAATAATGATCAACCAATCACAAAATCAGGAGCAACACCAAGGCTACGGCGGCTATCCTGCACCCAATTTTGTACGGTTAAAGCATCCGATTTTTAAACGCCCTCACTTGACTGGCTCACTACGTCCGTATAAAGAGCAAGTTCACTTAGCCCGTCCATACTATCATTCAAACGCCGTGCTCGTTCCCGTTTCTCTATTAAACCAATCCAAACTGAGTTCTTCACATACCCTTAATCTGAGCAAGGAAATTCAACCCTATCCTGTTCTTCCATTGCATTTTTTTAACAAAAACAGCAGCAATTCCAATACCTTGTCAATAATTTCTAATGGTGCTGAAAATTCACAAAAAACAATTCCTCTAGGATTATTAAAGCGACCCTTGTTTGTTTACAAACCAGCTGGTATCAGACCGGGGTATAGGCCCAGACCTGGTCTCTACCAGCTTATCAGACCACCACTAGTAACCATGGTCACTACGCTTATAGCTACTTCAACTATCATAGTTGAAACCCCTTTATCTTCCTTTACATCATCGACAATACTTTCATACACTAATCAGGTATCAACAAGCATCACTTCAATATCTAGTCCTAGCAGTACCTCAAATTTTTCTGTTTCTTCATCAAATGATAAGTCTTCTACTATCAATAGTTCTGATTCAATGACAAGTACAACTTTGATTTCATCTGTCATAGAAACCACTTTGTTGCCGACTTCTCTTTCCATGGTTTTCTCCTCGTTGCCAACAGCTTCATCACCAATTTATTCCTCTCTACTTCCAGTAACTATAAACACAACAGAAACTTCTTCTGCTCCAATAACTTGGTCATCTGTTTCATTACTTACTACAACTGCATCAGTAATTTCAACATCGGAGTTTATCACTTCAACATCGACTTCAACAGAGTCATCGTCTTTAGTCTCAGTAACTATTACCTCCACGGTAACTGAAACTTTTATATCAACATCATATATTTCACTTACGACATCACCTACCGTCGTAGTGTCCTCTGCATCAACAACATCAACAGAACCCTCAATAACAACACAAACAGCAGCCACATCAACTTCAGTTTTAACATTAACTAAAACGACAACATTAGTTTCATTATCAACAACTGACACTTTAACTTCAGGTGTTTCTATAACTACTACATTCCCTTCGATCGCACCATCAATTACATCTACATCAACTACAAGTATGGTAACTTCAACTGATACTCCTACTTTAACAACCACTCATGCATCGACTTCTGTGTTTTCATCTTCAACCAATGCAACTACTTCAGTTACATCTTCAACTCCTGACATACCGATTTCTTCTTTATCATCTTCAACCAGTGTAACTCCTCCAGTTACATCTTCAACTCCTGACATAACGATTTCTTCTTTATCATCTTCAACCAGTGTAACTCCTTCAGTTACATCTTCAACTCCTGACATACCGATTTCTTCTTTATCATCTTCAACCAGTGTAACTCCTTCAGTTACATCTTCAATTCCTGACATGTCGATTTCTTCTTTATCATCTTCAACCAGTGTATCTCCTTCAGTTACATCTTCAACTCCTGACATACCGATTTCTTCTTTAATATCCTCAACCACTCAATTTTCTCTGGTCTCATCTTCAATTACAGATGAATCTACTACTAATCTATCAACTTCATCCAATTCATCTATTTCAACCGCATCTTCAACTACTGATGCATCGATATCGACATCGATTTCATCGGCAACAGACTCACTTACCTCATTGATTTCATACACCACCGGTATATCGTCCACATTCGCACCCACACTGCCCTTTGATGTATCCATGATGTTAACTGGGACATCCACATTAACCTCTGATGCATTAACATTGTTCTCTGAAGCGACCACATTGTCCTCTGGAGCGTCAACATTGCCCTCTGTAGCGTCCACATTGTCCTCTGGAGCGACCACATTGTCCTCTGAAGCGTCAACATTGTCCTCTGTAGTGACAACATTGTCCTCTGAAGCGTCAACATTGTCCTCTGGAGCGACCACATTGTCCTCTGGGGCATCCACATTGTCTTCTGGAGCGTCCGCATTGTCCTCTGGAGCGACCATATTGTCCTCTGAAGTATCCACATTGTCCTCTGAAGCATCCACATTGTCCTCTGAAGCGACCACATTGTCCTCTGAAGCGTCAACATTGGCTTCTGAAGCATCCACATTGTCCTCTGAAGCGTCAACTTTGTCCTCTGAAGCGTCCACATTGTCCTCTGGAACGAGCACATTGTCCTCTGAAGCGTCAACATTGTCCTCTGGAGCACCCACATTGTCCTCTGGAACGTCCACATTGTCCTCTGAAGAATCCACATTGTCCTCTGAAGCGTCCACATTGTCCTCTGGAGCGTCCACATTGTCCTCTGAAGCGTCCACTTTGTCCTCTAGAGCATCCACGTTGTCCTCTGAAGCGTCCACATTGTCCTCTGAAGCGCCTAAATTGTCCTCTGAAGCGCCTACATTGTCCTCTGGAGTGTCCACATTGTCCTCTGAAGCATCCACATTGTCCTCTGGAGCGTCCACATTGTCATCTGAAGCATCCACATTGTCCTCTGGAGCGTCAACGTTGTCCTCTGAAGCGTCCACATTGTCATCTGAAGCATCCACATTGTCCTCTGAAGCGTCCACATTGTCCTCTGGAGCGACCACATTGTCCTCTGGAGCGTCAACATTGTCCTCTGAAGCGTCCACATTGTCCTCTGGAGCAACCACGTTGTTATCTGAAGCGTCAACATTGTCCTCTGGGGCATCCACTTTGTCCTCTGAAGCATCCACATTGTCCTCTGAAGCGTCAACATTTTCCTCTGAAGCGTCCACATTGTCCTCAGAAGCATCCACATTGTCCTCTGGAGCGTCAACATTGTCCTCTGAAGCGTCCACATTGTCCTCTGATGCGTCAACATTATCGTCTGAAGCATCCACATTGTTCTCTGGAGCAACCACATTGTCCTCTGAAGCGTCAACATTGTCCTCTGAAGCATCCACATTGTCCTCTGACGCGTCAACATTGTCCTCTGAAGCGTCCACATTGTCCTCTGAAGCGCCTACATTGTCCTCTGAAGCGCCCACATTGTCCTCTGGAGTGTCCACATTTTCCTCTGAAGCGCCTACATTGTCCTCTGGAGCGTCCACATTGTCATCTGAAGCATCCACATTGTCCTCTAGAGCGTCAACGTTGTCCTCTGAAGCGTCCACATTGTCCTCTGAAGCATCCACATTGTTCTCTGAAGCTTCCACATTGTCCTCTGGAGCTACCACATTGTTTTCTGGAGCGTCAACATTGTCCTCTGAAGCGTCCACATTGTCCTCTGGAGCGACCACATTGTTCTCTGAAGCGTCAACATTGTCCTCTGGAGCGTCGACATTGTCCTCTGAAGCGTCCACATTGTCCTCTGGAGCGTCCACATTGTCCTCTAGAGCGACCACATTGCCCTCTGAAGTATCCACATTGTACTCTGGAGCGTCAACATTGTCCTCTGAAGCGTCCACATTGTCCTCTGATGCGTCAACATTGTCCTCTGAAGCGTCCACATTATCATCTGAAGCATCAACATTGTTCTCTGGAGCGACCACATTGTCCTCTGAAGCGTCAACATTGTCCTCTGAAGCATCCACATTGTCCTCTGAAGCGTCAACATTGTCCTCTGAAGCGTCCACATTGTCCTCTGAAGCACCCACATTGTCCTCTGAAGCGTCTGTTTTGTCCTCAGAAGCGTCAACATTATCCTCTGAAGCGTCCAAATTGTCCTCTGAAGCATCCACATTGTCCTATGAAGCGTCGACATTGTCCTCTGGAGCGACCACAATGTCCTCTGAAGCGTCAACATTGTCCTCTGGAGCGTCCACATTGTCCTCTGAAGCATCCACATTGTCCTCTGAAGCGTCCACATTGTCCTCTGGAGCGACCACATTGTCCTCTGAAGCGTCAACATTGTCCTCTGGAGCTACCACATTGTTTTCTGGAGCGTCAACGTTGTCCTCTGAAGCATCCACATTGTCCTCTGAAGCGTCAACATTGTCCTCTGAAGCGTCCACATTGTCCTCTGGAGCGACCACAATGTCCTCTGAAGCGTCAACATTGTCCTCTGGAGCTACCACATTGTTTTCTGGAGCGTCAACATTGTCCTCTGAAGCATCCACATTGTCCTCTGAAGCGTCAACATTGTCCTCTGAAGCGTCCACATTGTCCTCTGAAGCATCCACATTGTCCTCTGAAGCGTCCACATTGTCCTCTGGAGCGACCACAATGTCCTCTGAAGCGTCAACATTGTCCTCTGGAGCGTACACATTGTCCTCTGAAGCATCCACATTGTCCTCTGAAGCGTCCACATTGTCCTCTGGAGCGACCACATCACCACCACACCCAGCACCACCACCACCACAACACCCACCACCACCACCACCAAGGCCCCGTCACGTCCTTTGGTTCAGATAGTCCCCCACCGTCGCTGACGTCTGAGGCTGACGTCTGAGGCTGACGTCTGAGACTGACTCGTTGATTGATGAAGCTAATTTAGTTGATTATTTAAAATTTATTCAGTGTCTCAGTTTTCATTTAATAAAATCATCCCTCGCAAGTATTCTTTACGAAATTGTTCAATTACCGTAGTTATTTTTTTACAATTCCCAATTACATTTTTCAACTGACACAAGCGACTCTTATATGATTTCCTGACAAATTTATCTTGACAAATTTAAATTTCAAACCTTTGAGTTTTAGGAATTTCAGAGAATACATTTACAAATTCTTTATATTTCATATTTTGAGCACTGAATGTTCTGCATCAGTATTGACTCTGACCAAAATTAAGCAAGATAATATATTACGCCATTTTACGGAAGCGCAAATTTTTACATTTTGTGATATTATGTAATACATGATTAAACGGAAGATATTTCTTCGTTATTGTGATGTAAACTATATAAACTCATATGTAATTTAAATATTTATCAAAAACATTTCAGATATGGTATTAACTTATTCACATGATTTTCGATTAATTTTTACTAAATTTAGCATACAACCTTAAATCTTCTTCATTGAATTGAAATACCACTTAGAATACTTCAAGAAACTCTAAAAAGAGAAGAAATAATCTTTTAGGGGATACCATAATTTCTTGTGCTGAATATAATTATCTTGTCTATTAAAATTACTTGAATAAAAATTGCATTTTTTTGACTGTAATAAAGTTTTCCACCATTTAATTAATCATATGAATGGAAAGACATAATATAGTCTTATAGTGTATGTACATATAATTTGTGCATGACCGTAATTTTCTATGGTTTATCAAAATACCAGATTGTAATTTTAAATAATTTTGTTTGGAGTGTTTATTTATTGATGCACAGAAATTTTATGAACAGACGTTATGTTTAACCTTTACTTAATAAAATGGTTCAAAAAGTGATAAATTGAATTGGATTGTTTATCGTTTCAGAATTATTGTATTGGCATTTCACTTATCATATTGATATTTTTCACATTTTAGCTTTTTAAAATAAAATGCATATACGTAGTTTTTTATGTGTTAGAGATGCTCTTGGGGATCTTTTAGCTATTTTATTTACAAATTAAAGAAGTACTTCTTGCTGAATTTTGAATAACCATCAATTAACTTTAGTGACCGAAATCTCCGATTATAGTTAAATGATCCTTGCAAATTATAAAATCATCCTTCCTTTTAATAATGATTGCATAACGAAAGTGTTCTAAATAGTACGAAAAATTCCCAGAAGCCAAAATTACAGCTTGTGACGAATAAATTGACGAGGAAAATAAAAGCCAGCTTTAATTATACTTCAGAACTATATTAAGCATTCAGCTTTCAATAATTAGGATATGAAACTTTACACTATTAAATTTGAATTATTTCCAATTGAAAATAAATAGACTACGAGATGTTATCTTCAAACAGACTAATCTTGCTGCAATAGAGAGCATTAAAAATTGTTCAACTCTGTAATTAATTAATTACTTATCCTCATATTTTTTTCTTTAATTTATCTAATTTTCACATGAAGTAAGACAGTCAAAGAGCAGAAAACTCAACTCATTTTTTATTATTTTTTATGCTAATTTTGAGCTCAACCACTCGACATTATGTAAGGTAAGCACGAGAAACACTAATTTACTAAATAATTAACGAGATTAAATTAAAATTAATTAATAAATAAATAATTAACGAGAATAAATTAAAAATCCTCACTCCTGCATGCGACTGGCCTCGCGTAGAGTGTAACGCGATCAAATATATATTTTTACTTAGCCTATGAAAACTCTTCTATGTTAATAATAGGACGGAATTATAGAGTAGAACTGGACGGACATGGACTAGAAGGATTTAGTAAACGGACTTCTAAGGAATACATCAATAAACCAAATTTTACACAACGCGAAATAATGTCTAAGACTTTAAAATGAAGCTTCGTTTTTGAAGTCTTGTTCGACTACAATTGAAATTTCAAAACTTGTTGCTTTTTGCCACATCTCTAATTTTTTGCAAGCTTTGCACAGTAATCAATGGCGATTTTATCGATACGCCAGTTTTAATATTTCAACTATATATCAACTAAAAATTCAACATCAAACATTATAGCTAACGATAAAATCTCGAGATTAACGAATCGAAATTACCGTCTAGCCAATAATATCTTAGCTACAAACTAGCTCAGCTTATGAGCTCGGAATGCAACAGATGTAATTTCACTTATAATATAAAGGCAATAAAATCCGCCACGCATCTTTAGTCAACATTGGTCCCTGGATATGACTTCATCCATCATAATTGCAACGCTTCCACCATAAAGCAGAGCCATGTAATTAATTTCATTCTTCATATATCCATTGTTGAATTTTGTGTCGTCAAATATCTTATTCCATTGCGTTGTCAAGTATGTTTGCATTCTTTTTCTGATTATAATTTGAATAAATTAGGCATCTACTCTCATACCAACTTAATCAAGAAGGGATCTTTTCTCGTACCACCAGAATTAAAGTGGCATCTCTTTTCATACCACCTAAATTAGGGAGGTATCTATTTTCAATTAAACGAAGGACAAATTTTGAAAATAATTGATATGGAATTCGGTCAAAAATGTGCTTCTTCATTATCAACATCGATAAAATGATATAGTCTCTGCTGCTATAAATGATAATTGGATAATTCTAATTATAATTTGATTGTTGTCCTGATTAACGATGGGACAAATTTTGAAAAGAATTGATATGTAATTCGGTCAAAAATGTGCTTCTTCATTATCAACATCGATAAAATGATATAGTCTCTGCTGCTATAAATGATAATTTGAAAATCATATTTATAATTGATTGTTGTAAAGAACGAGTTATGATGTAAATGGCTAAATTTAGTAATCTTCATCCTCATCGTCTTCTGGCATGGTGGCGCTCTCCTCCACTTCGTTGTAGTCCATCTCGAGAGCAGCCAAGTCCTCGCGAGCTTCAGCGAACTCACCTGCGTCACAAATTTGACCATTAGGAATAAATTAATTAAGTGCAATAAGTGAATATTTAAATAGATATTACTCGATTATAAAATTTTACTTATCACCATTGGAATTGGGGCAAAAGTAAAGTAATAATAGTTTACAGTTCCAATTAATGATCATCATTTAGCAATAGTTGAGAGTTGTTTAATAGAAAACACATTCTTGTGTTGGATCAATAGAATGTAAGATATTATTTGAAATTACTCCATACCTTTGACATGCACATTGTGCCATACAGCTCAATTATTCGAACAATTTTGTGGTTATACATATTTTTTGCCATCCAACATCATAAGAAACATTAGGCAAAGGCAATCAATGCGGCTTTGGAAATTAGTGATACTTGGGTGCATTTTATGCAGAGTGTTTCTGATATCAAGTTTTGGTGGATGCATGTTTATTTTACCATGATGTTGAAACTTTCATTTTCAGTGCTTCAGAGTTGAAAATATTTTATTGTACTTGTGCAGTTTCACGAAAATTTACAGAGCTAAAATTGTTTTATTCGTTAGTTCGAAATAATTTTATACAGTGCCGACAGGTTGGATAAAATTTACTTTACTCCTATTGGAACATGTATGAAATTGAACTCGAGTAGAGCTTAACCACAAATAGTAATGCTGAAATAATCATTTCAGGTTACCAACATGATGACAATGTCACTAATATTACACACAGAATTATCAGAGTAACTAGCGTTACTATTATAATAGCTACCAACATCTTCTCTACCGATGGTCTAACAAAGATTATATGCATAGAAATAATAACTACTGAAGTAGAAGAATCTACAACAGAAAATCTTGAATTCAAAGTCTAGAAGCTCTTGAAGAAGAAAGTTTTACAATATGAAACTACAGTAAATAATAGACAAACGTTGATGTCTTTTGAAAACGTTGAAATTTGAAATAAGTTTGAAATTTCGAATAAGGATTAAAGATTTTTTCCAAAGACAGAATTTTTGCTAGCATGTGATGAATGATCAATTGTACAGTATGAAATATTTAGAAATAAAGAATTATCGTGAGTAATGGGAATACATCCCATGGCTTCACTTTAGAGATTTAAAAATTGTCTGCCAAAAATAAATGCGTAATTGTTATTTAGTAACCAAAAGATAAACAATAAGAAATGTACTGATGAAATGCAGATTTTTATACAAATCAAATAGGATGTCAAGGATAGGTGCAACGGATTAACATGAAACGAATATTTCGACAATAATATGGCAATTACGTCAAACATTCAAGATGAAGCTGACAGAAAGTTGTTTACTACCGTAATGCAGGATACAATATATTTGGAAATTACAACAAAGCGGATATTGTGTTTTCAATGGTATTCCTACTTAATATGCGAGAATATTGACAACTTCGACAATCTTGTTCTCGTCTTACATGTAATTGGTACAAAGTTGGGTTTATAAATTAAAATATAGAACTCCCAAAAGAATCATTTTTTGCTGGGTATGAATTATTTAACAATGTCTTATTTAAGTGTACGTGAGAAATAATGGAAAAATATTTACAAAAATGTTCGATTTGGAGTGGAGTATTGTGAGCGTTCACGATTTTTTAATGCAATTTTCATGAGCATTAGAGGTTTAACATTTTTTTAATTCCTTCCCTAACAAAGAATCCACGTTTGAATGGAGTGGTTATTTGTTGTATAATAAGTGGTGAATTATCCATAATTAACATGGAATCCTGTTCCGACAATGTGGGTACGAGACGTGCATTACTGTGATATGAAACAAACTGAGTAGTTACGGCGAAGGTCAACCCTTTACCGCCAATTAAGTTACCATTGAAAATAAAGAATGATATTAAGCTGACGTTTAGTTTCTTAGGGGCGGTAATTGGTCGACATATAAATATAAATATATATGTATATATACATAAAAACATCTATTACTCAATTAGAACATGAGTGAGCCAGCCATGCTGCTTGCCAATAATTTGAAGAGCATCTCTACACTGAAAAAATAAAACATAACAAACGAACCGATTTTGAAAACTTCTGTTCCATCCATCCTCTAGAAGTAGTAAGCTCACTCGTATTGACGATATTTGGAATAAGAGTACTTCGTATTAACTTTATATAATAGCGGAAATTTAAACTCAAGAATGGCCGGTTTGTAACATGACATGAATTGTTAATGCGCAATTTCTGTTCATTAATTCTGATTATCAATAATCAAGTGGAGTCCAATGCAAGAAATTTGATAAATTGTTTGATTTCACATTAATTTCAGCATACCTACTTTTCCTTACGTAAAGCAAAATATGGCAGTGTCAGCTCACTTCTATTATTCGAAATTATTCTATTAAAATCTAAGTAGCCAGAAAATTTATTAATTCTGACAAAATGTGTCAAGAAAATGTTTATTTTAAACAGGGATCGCTCCCAAGACGTTATAAATAATAGCTGAAAATTATCAAAGATTTTCTGTCTGGCCTGAGAAATAAAGAAAAGCCCCTCGTTATTCGTCTTCCAACTCATCGGCATCTGGACTTTCAACTTCCAGGTAATCCATTTCCAGGGCAGCGGTGTCTTCGCGGGCCTCGCTAAACTCTCCTGTGATAATTCAGAGCATTTGAAATGGATTTGAGCATTTAATGGATTGAGTATTTTTAGGTTTAGATGATTTTGGGCTCGTTTCAATTGTTTAGTTGGACAATTTATTTTAATTTCATTTCTTGTACGTTGGAAATTTTCATTAATTAAAGTACTCTAGAGATTGAATTCGCTTTTTGGATTTAAATGCATAAATCCCGAAAGCATTATTATTTATAGACTTTGTTGTTTCCTTAATTAAAGTATTTAGCCTCAATGATTTTTAACATGGAAATGTTATGATTTGTTACGGTGGATTTAAAAGTTAGGAAAACTTGTACGAGGGACTTCATGGCTACTACGTACGATGAGTATAAACAATGGCAATGACGGCGGAATTATTTGCTAAATAATATTCCTATGTTACATGAAACTAATATCGCGGTAAGATACAAAACATCAGATATTATTTTCAAATTTTACAATAGAAAGAGCACATTTTTAACACAACCTAGTGACCTACGGGGGCGAACGAATCCAAAAATTTCCGAACGAATTGTCATTGTTTGGCGAGATTGGAGAATTGTGAGTTCCTTAAAACTACTGAATGGCAACGCTAAGACGAACATAGATGTACTCTTGATACAACATATATAGGCTGGCTGTAATGAACAGAAAATGAAGATCGTGTAGTTCGAGCTGTGAACTGTAACCGTTATATATACCAGGAACTTTACTTACATTGTACAATATATAAAATATTTACAATACCGTTTAGGCTGCCTTCTTCCTGATAAACAAATACAATTAAAAAATCAACTGAAAGATTAATCTCAACGGAAGACAGACTTCTTTTCAAAAGACTCCACAATCAAGCCACATACTCTCCCAGAAACTTATTTGAGTCTACCACCATATATTAAATCAAGTCATATGACCTCAAGTCATAAAATTCAAGTCATTCATATTATTAAGTATATAATAATAATTAGTACCCACCGGCCACATAACTTTGATTACTTAACGTCTTCTTAACCGACCTAATATCTGATTATTGAACCTGCAAAAACATAATTTTATCTACACTGAACGGTTTCCTTTCATCAAACATTATTATTATATACAGGATTATTTTGCGGTTATTGTATAGTCTCTTACCTTCTTCCATGCCTTCGCCGACAAACCAGTGCACGAATGCGCGTTTAGCGTACATCAGATCGAACTTGTGATCGAGTCGCTGCCAGGCCGTGCGTATAGCGGTCGTGTTGGAGAGACAACACACGGCGCGCTCTACCTTCGCTAGGTCACCGCCAGGCACAACTGTGGGAGGCTGGTAGTTGATGCCTACCTGTAAACGGTGAATAAATTTACATCAGAATTACCATTTCATTTTGAATACCGGATACGTGTTGATAATTTATTAAATTTCTTGATTTGTTATAATAACTGCAATGTACCAACGAGATTTAAGTATAATTGCTAGCTCGAGATGCTATTGATGCGTTCGAACAATAACGATGTGGTCAACAATAACGATGTGGCGTCTTTAATTTTATACGTAACAATTTTTTCCATATTTAGCTTCAATTTCGTTAATCGTATAATTCGTATTGTAATACCTATGTAATTATACTGTCAAAATATTATTTTAGGTGCTCACTCATTTCTTTCTATCGACGCATGGTGAAAAAAGTACATGACAGTGTATTTTGATGAACGTTTCTTATGATATTTCTAGAAAAAGTAAAAAATTTTCGACGATCGCCTCTTGCACAACAGATCAATTGCACATGCAGAAAAATAAATGGGGCATAATGTCCAAAATAATGTTTAAATGTCCAACCTACTGTACTTTGTGCACTGAGCATGAGCATGAAGCAAACATAGTGCTGATAAGCTATCATGTTGGGCCAAACAGGGTCAGGATTACCCACCCACATTACCCTGCACCCGTGTATACATACAACGCACCTTGAAGCCAGTTGGGCACCAGTCCACGAAGGAGACTTTCTTGCTTTCCTTAATTTCAGTGATGGCGCCATTAACATATTTCGGGATGACGTCACCCCGATACAGGAGGCAACACGCCATGTATTTCCCGGTCTGGGGGTCGCACTTGACCTGAAGATGAAAAAACTGATTAAAGCACCCAATATTGATGAAAAATTTAATAATAAAATAAATTCATGTGATTGGAGATGTCAATTAATTTCAATTATGATGAACCCACTCGTTCTAGGACGAGAAGTAAATGATGTGGCCTGATAAACGGCAGAATTTCCGCCATCTAACGCAAAAGCTCGCGTTATAATGAAAGGAAAATGTTTTTATGCATTGAAACTTTTCATTTATCTTTGAAAAGATCATATGATGACAAGAACACTCAGACGAAGAAAACTCTATAGTAGTACCAACTGCAACTTGATTTTTTGTTGGACAAAAACAGGTTTTACAAGGGAATCAGTGCACTCGCACCATCAGGTGATGAATCTCGAAAAATTATGTACGTTCTATATCATTATTAGTACGTTCTATATCACTATCATTTAGCATCTGGTAATATCAATATCATTAACCATCTGCTGTTGTGGCTCCAGAGGGAATAATTATTCTCAATATCATCATCATTAACCATCTTGTGCTGCAGCTCCAGAGGAATCAATATTCTCAATGTCATCACTAACCATCTGACGTCGCGGTTCGAGAGGGATCATTATTCTCAATATAATCATCACTAACCATCTGATGCTGATGCTCCAGATGGATCATTATTCTCACTATCATCATCACTAACCATCTGATGCTGCGGCTCGAAGCACTTCTTGGTGATCTGCTTGACGTCATTATTGTCGTGCTTAGCGCGGTCAGCAGCCACGATGGGCGCGTACGTCGCCAGCGGGAAGTGGATGCGCGGGTACGGCACGAGGTTCGTCTGGAACTCCGTCAGGTCCACGTTCAGAGCGCCGTCGAAACGCAGAGATGCGGTGATGCTGTGGGGAAAAAATATTTTATGGAAATTAATGAGTGAGCTGGAATTAAATGGGTTGCAAAATAAAAATTTAATAAGTAATATTAAAAAAGTTTGGAATTTTTTTAAGTATTTACTGAGAAACACCGCCAGCAGAATTGAACGAGAAGTATTTGGGGGAAAAATATTTTAATAGACTGAACTATTTACTGACAAGTGCCACCAGAATTAAACGAGGAGTAAAAATTTAAAATGTAAGTAAAACGAGAAAATTTCATTAAAACGAGAACTAATATTAAAAATAATTTTTGGAAATTTTCAACTGTTTACTCACAAATGCCACTAGAATTAAGCGAGAAGTGAAAATTTAAAATTTAATTAAAACGAGAAAATTTAGTTAAAACGAGAAGTAATATTAAAAAATATTTGAAATTTTTTAATTATTTACTGACAAATACCACCAGAATTAAACGAGACGTAAAAAATCAATATATATATATGAAACTTTGAATTACAAATGCTACGAAAATTCCGATCTACTTACCTAGAAACGACCTGACCGATGATCCTGTTTAGGTTAGTGTAGGTGGGCCGAGTGATACTGAGTTCTTTACGACACAGGTCGTAGATAGCTTCATTGTCCACCATGAAGGCGACATCAGCGTGCTCCAGAGTCGTATGGGTGAACAGCACGGAGTTGTAGGGCTCAACCACCGCGGTAGAAACCTGCGGCAGCCATTTTGCATATTCTAACATTTTTGTAAATGGTGCGGCAGCCATTTTGCATATTCTAAAAAATTTAAAAGCGAATTTACGCGCCCCTAGAAAATATTTGAAAAGATGTGTGAAAAAATAAATGTGACTGTGAATTAACGGATTGAATCAAAATGCTGTTTTTTAAACGACTCAAAGTATGAAGACAAATAAAACTGTCTTTTTTTCGCTATCTATCATATTATACTATAAACAAATGTCTGCATGTCACGTCAGAAAAATTCGTCGAGTGTCCAGGTAACATTCTAACTAATTCATGATATTATATCATGCTAATTCATGATGTCAATTCAACTAATCCATGATATAATACATGAGGAGCGGGGTAGATAGAAAAGCAAAGTTTGCTTTTCTTGCCCTCAAGAGCCAGTCTGTCCATGCTATTGATATATTACGTCTGCCAACGTAACATATCAATTTTAGTTTTACACTCAGTAATTATACCTGGTATAACAACATGCAATTAATAAAATATATAATACCTGAGGAGCGGGGTAGATAGAGAAGCAAAGTTTGCTTTTCTTGCCCTCAAGAGCGAGTCTGTCCATGAGGAGTGAAGCGAACCCTGACCCAGTGCCGCCCCCGAACGAGTGGAAGATGAGGTAGCCTTGCAGTCCCGAGCACAGCTCTTGCTGCTTGCGGATGGCGTCGATCACGGTCTCTATTTGTTCTTTGCCTGTCAATATACATATACAAAGGCTATATGTGCGACGTATAAAAACATTCGAATATTTTATTTGAATTTTAATATTTTTTTACGAAATTCAAAATTCAGCGAGGTGGAGAGAAATATATTTAATAAAAATGTATGGATTTTTAAAATACATAAATTGTTATGAACGTTTGAAATAATTTCTTAAAATTTCAAGGGAATTTGTTTATGTTAATATTAATTAAATTTTTATTTCAAAGAAACAAAGAACAAATATTTGATCAAAAATTGAGTCAACGCTTGAATCAAAGACGAATAAGTCAATCCCCTACTTACTTAAAAACACATTTCTAAAAAGATTAAAATCATAAGTTTTTGAAAATAATTTTGAATGTCATATGCAAATAAAAAAACATTTCTAAGAAAAAAGTTCAAATTATAACGTTTTTAAAATTATTTGCGTACCATATGCAGATAAAATTCAATATTATAGGCTGATACCAACCAACAGTGTAGTGACCCCTGGCGTAGTTGTTAGCGGCGTCCTCCTTGCCTGTGATCAGTCCAGACGGGTTGAACAGCTCACGGTACGTGCCCGTGCGTACTTCATCTGCGCACCACAAGTCCATGTCGTAAAGGGCTTGACAAACTATTATATTTAATAACTATAGTGGGCTGATGCAAGCTATTATGTTTAATGCCTATAAAGGGCTGATGCAAACTATTATGTTTAATGCCTATTAAAGGGTTTGACAAACTATAATATTTAATGCTATAAAAGGTTTGACAAACTATTATATTTAATGCCTATAAAGGGTTTGATAAACTATTATATTTAATAACTATAGCGGGCTGATGCAAGCTATTATGAAATTTAATATATATTACATTATAATTTTCTTATAATATAATATTTATATTATATATATTTATTTATATATTTATTTATTAAATTATAATATAATATTACTATTATATTATAGTACGTAACTATAAAGGGCTGATGCAAGCTATTACATTTATTGCCTATAAAGGGTTTGACATACTATTATATTTAATAACCATAAATTGCTGCTGCAAAGTACTTAATAACTATGAAGGGTTTGACAAACTATTTTATTTAAAGCCTATAAAGGGCTTGACAAGCTATTATATTTAATGCCTATAAAGCACTTGACAAACTACTATATTTAATAACGATAAATGGCTGATGCAAACTATTATATTTAAACATACTATTATATTTAATGCCTATAAAGGGCTTGACGAACTATTATATTTAATAACTATGTAGGGCTTGACAAACTATTATATTTAATGCTCTAAAGGGATTGACAAACTATTATATTTAATAACTATGTAGGGCTTGACAAACTATTATATTTAAAAACTATGAAGGGCTGATGCAAACTATTATATTTATTAGCAGGCGCCTGACATTGAAGAAACCTTGTTAAATGTTTTTTCAATGAAAACAACACGTAATCAACGTTATTTCGACGCCATTTACTTGGTGCATAAATAGCTTAATTATAATAATTTGAGCATTGTATTCCAAATATGCATTTTTAAGCTCAAAGTATTTCCGCAGAAAATTCTTCAGTCATGTTTGTTACATATTAGACAGCTTATATAAAAAATGTAAATATTCATAACAAAAATGTGCAGTAGCAGGATTTAAGGGCTAAAATATCCCGGATGAAGCATGGATTAGTAGGAAATTTTGGAATCATTAACAAAAAAATCTTCCAGCTCGGGCAGCCGAGTGATTGGGATTAGGAAGATTGGAACAGCAAGTTGAAAGTTCAAAACCCGCAACGAGTTACGAAAATTCTATAAGGCATCGACAAGGGGGCCAGGTGGTTAACAATCGGCTACAGGTAACAAGGCATAATCGAAACTGGTACCAATACATTATGTTATGTAGTTGTATTATAACAGTTAGTGTATATATTTACACCAATCAACAACATGTCAATCAGAATTAAGTAGCTCCTACAGTTATACATTGTATTCAAACATATATCTCTTAGTCGCACTCAGACCACCATTCAGTAAACGAATTTCCGTGTAGTGTAGGACAGATATTTTTGAAATTTTTACGGGAAATTTGAATTTTTGAAACTCTCCAATACAGTCTGAGGTAGAGCAACGTACTTGAACGCCAAAACAGGGGTTAATTTCAACACTTCTCTTCAACTTCATTTCTTATCGTTTGTTTGTTTGTTTGCTACAAATTTTATAATCGATATTTAACACACATCTACTTTTCCAATCGATCTGAAATTTTGCACACTTGCGTAAAGTTGGACACAATGCATGAATCGATTGACAGAACAAATCATTTTGAGAGTTTAAACAAAAATTTTTTAGTATAAAAAATATTTTAAAAATAATTTCGTCTGCTACGTATCTTATATTTAATTTAATGTATTTAACACACTTCTTCCTGTCCAATCGATCTAAAAGTTTGTTCACTTTAGATCGTTTGTTCACAAATTAGAAATTTTATTGTACATGTGTAACATCGGACACACTGGACTTGCTGGAAGTGTTAATAATTATTAATTTTTAAACACATATTATTTTAAAATGAATAAACAGCATTGCGTAAAGTTTAACAGAGCACATTTGCGCTGAGTTGATGAAGTAGCTCGCAAGACAGAACGTAAAATTGGGGTGTTAGAAGTGTTCGTCTATCAGGTTAAGACATTCTCGTTTCTTCCCATCCCCAAAAACAGCACCATTAAAGAACTAACTTGCACTGTGTAATAGTTAGTCATTGGGCTATTTAATTTTATTGGATCTAATCCGTATCTGATTGACCATATCACTATTTCGTAACTTGAGTTTACGTATGTCAAACACTTATGTCTTGGGACTGAGAGTTTCGTTAATTTCTGCTATAATCCCCATACATGTCCGAATTAATTTTTTTAAATTTAAGTATAGTGAAAAGTTTTGACAACCTAGTGTTCTTCAGTTCTACAATTCTATTCCTGTTGCGCCCAATATTATGCCTTCAAATGTCGGAGACTGTATCCCAATGCTTTTCCCACGATCAGTCATCAATTAACAACCTGCATGTTGTATTTTGTCTGTACACTAGCTGGTCTTCAAAAAATAATTTTGCACCTACTGATATTTCATTGGCTTGCAACAGGGACCTTGAAAAATATATCAGGCGGTAAAATATCTAGATTTTTGCTACGACAGTGTGGGATCCGACATAGCTCTGCACATTTCGCACCTATCGCAGCTACCCATCCAAAGATACCAAGACATTATCAATATCCGCTATACAGCGAACACTGATAACTTTGCATACAACCGCATATTTGCGAATCCGAGTAAGCTTAACCTTGGAAGTAAAATGACGATAGTTAAATCCTCGTTTCAAAGTCCGTATACTATTTCAGCTTGCATATCTCTCATTAATATTTGAAAAAAATTGTGAGATTATAAACATATATAATGACTGCCGAATTATCATATGTATGAAAATTGCATTCTTCGCGTTGCCCAGGCGTAATTTCATAACAATGATACAGGTATGCCAATACCATAAATATCGTCTTATGAATTTTAGGCACTGTTTAAATAAAACATTTAAAGTACTGAAGTAATAGCCATCTCATCGATTGACCCCACAGCGATAGACTGAATGTCTTCCAAAACTATTGAATTTTTCCGTTAAATTGCCGTCACTACTGAAGTAAATTATTTAGATGCTAATTAAATCTAAATTAATTATTCAATTAGTTAGCTCACCCACAACAGTAGGCTCAAGGTCGACAAATATAGCACGCGGGACGTGTTTGCCAGCCTGGGTCTCGTTGAAGAAAGTGTTGAATGAGTCGTCGTTGAGGACACCGTCGTCCTCCTCGTCCAGGATCATACCGTCGGGCTGGATGCCGTGCTCCAGGCAGTACAGCTCCCAGCACGCGTTACCCATCTGCACTCCCGCCTGTCCCACATGGATGCTGATGCACTCCCTCTGTCATGAAATAAGAAATAATATAGCAGTTTCAGCGTTTAGTAGGCCGTAGGACTGTCGCCGACAAGTTCTTAACATTGCAGAACTTTCACAGCTTGATGCGGGCTTGAACTCGCAACTCACTGCTTCAAATTTTCTTAGCTTAACCGCCCGGCCTCCTCGCCGAATCTGACCAGAAACTGGCGCACAGTGCTGGGATCGAACCCGCGACTCTCTGCTCTAATCTTGGCACTCGGAACTGTAACTACTGGGCCACCCTGCTTGTGTCGTGAATAAATTATAACTGAATTCATGTTGTTCATTCAAATTACATCATTAATGTTGTTTAATATGATTAACCAGACTGGTTGTTAGTTAGTAAATAACTAGCGTTCCCAGATACTAGCAATCTTTTAGCGAACGAATTTGAAAAGGAATATAAATTTACAGAAGTATAGGTGATTGGGTTAAAAATTAATAATATACCTCTAAATAAAGTAACGAAAGAATGATCAATGTTCGTGCTAAAGGGAAGCTGTTATTACATGCCCTCTGAGTGCCCTATAATGTGAAAATATTAACTATCAAGACATTGAGAGCAAAATTATAAGCTGTCGCTTGCCATTGGCCCACTCGGTCCCAGCGGGCTAACTTTTGCATTAGGCTGCTTGATGATCGCGATAAAAATTTCATTCGACTGGGTACATTATTGTAATGTGATTTTTCAATTAACTTATTGTACAATCGACTTAAAATGTATGAAATAACAATTGGAAATTTTATCTGAGCCCATTTTTGACGGCACCTTAGGGCATAATGATTCCTATTATATGTATCAGTTGATTTTATTTAGGTAATGATTGTAAAGTCAGCGACCCCTTGTAGGACCGGCATTGCGATTGTACATAGACTTGACATTCATGGTTAAACTGCTGCTTGTATTCGTGGTTAACGACGACAAAGAATTTAGTATTGATAAAAATAAAAACAACAAACTCATGAACATGCACTCACCCGACTAAAACCCATTTTTTAGTTCTTGAATTTTTTGTAGCGAGTGAAGTCGATTCTGTATTACAAACTAAGAAATAAAAATTACAATTTAATATTATGGAAGATATATATATTGAATGAGGCCGTAAGTGTATCCCTTATCGTCAAAGGTAATATTTCTACAGCTTCGCGTAAAAACTTTCAGGGGGTTACCGCATCGATAGCATTTCCAAGACGCCTTGGCAATTAACTTTTTACGTTGACAAGCGGAAATCTCCAGAAGCAGTGAATTCAAGTTCAAAAAATATATACTGGTACATGCTTAATTTTTCGCCGGAGGTGATATGATCTAAATTTGTGATTTTCATTATTAATTCACCACCGTAAATGCAAATATTTAACTCGACACATTAGTTTGACTAAACTAAACTGATATATAATATTATTGTTCCATTGTTCTCATTCATTCGAATTTACCATTGTCAAAAAATAGATTTCTGAAAGCAATGAATGACTCAACCATGTTTATCATTCATTTCAGAAAATGAAACTTTTCTACACGCTGAAGATCAAATATATTATATGCTTGTCGCATTTCGTTTCTTTGATTTACATATTAATGATATTATATAAGTTATTATTCAAACTTACAACACGAGTCCTCATTTGTTTATGTGTGCATGATGTAATCTTCCGACACAGAACATCAACTAAACTATGAGGAAGAAAGAATTGGTTCACTACAGGTTCACTAAATTTAAAATTACTTTGCAAACAAAGAGGAAAATCCTAACGCATGTAGAAGTGAGTGTTTATTAGCTGCGAAATATGGCAACGTTTGCTCATAGTATGGTAGATCTATCTAACTCAAATACAAAATGTATCTACAAACTTCTCATTGTACATGTCGATTCGACGACTTTATACTTGTTGATTCACGTTCAAAATAGCTTGCATGGAAAATATTTAAAATTCATTAGAAATATTGCACATAAAAGAATTCTTACAAAAATATCCAAGTGAATACGAGATCATCACAAAATATATGTGGGATTTAGGAACCATTGCAATAAAGAAGCCCAATTTAATGTCTAGTTAAATGAATTTTTTTATGGATTTGACACCTTCTGATATGTTCGTGATCGGAAATAAACTCATTCGATCCAGACGAAAATCCAGAAACTGGATTACACGTTGAATAAATCCCATTGATGATCAAATTTCCTAACAAAATTTAGAGTCGCCCCAGCTTCTGGTACTCCAAATCAGAAGCTGCCGCGTCTGTAAATTTTCACTGGGTAACAAAATTTAGAGTCGCCCCAGCTTCTGGTAATCCAAATCAGAAGCTGCCGCGTCTGTAAATTTTCACTGGGTTGCAGAGCTTTATGTTTTGAACGTTCGCCACTCGAGCACCGGACAGCAACTGAAGTCTGTGACTTGGTATTGCCATGGAGAGAACGAGCAGCAGTATAGTGGTCGATATGAGTCTAATTAACGCACTCTATACACACGAGTCTTCAAAGCATTCCAGGCTAAGAGGAAACTCATGATGAAGAGTGACTGCCACGCCACCACAAGCAGACATGACGCCTAATGAATAACCGAGACTGCAACAAGCAGAGCCTCTACACCGGCCCTTGCAGTGAATATATAATTTGTGGTAGGCCTACGAGGAGGCCTGAAATTACAGCGGCGAAAATGAAGTGATTCTCGCATGAAAGACGGGAGAAAGTTAAGTTGATATTTTCAGATAACAAGAAAGCAATTCAGTTAACAGTAATATTTTCGATTAAAAATTAAAATACTTCAATGCAGATGAAATCAATTTTTTTTAATCTGTGATAATGTTGAAGTCTTGGGATATATCATTTCACTTCCTGTAGATCAAATGGTCATGGCTCATGGGTTCGATGATGATTAATAACATCAAATACATAACCATTGGAAAGCAATGATCATTATTAATTTTAATGATTAATAATACGTGTTTAATTATTTATTATCTATCTTCACATTAAACACTTGTAGTTGAGAAAAATCTTGACTCGTAACGGATAACGAATCCAGCCGAGTCAGAAGGGCGAGCGTATGAAGAAGCTACGCCTTGTTCGACGCACGAATTATTTATTATGGAAATCAATATCCCTGGAGTATCGCTCCCTCGACTCACCTGCGCGCTGTTCACAAGCCAGATTCGACAGCGAAAAGCTTATGGTTATCAAATCTTTTTGACTGTATTCTCAGTTTAATTTTATTTCTTACGGTTATTAATTTAAGGTATTTCGTTTTAAATAATGTATTTCCGAGCTCAAGACTGCCAATGCCTGCATGTTCATGTTCAATTTTTTACCTATAAAGCTATGGACTTCTGAAGTACCGTGCTGAAAATTCTATCATAATAACTCAAATAATATAACTATCGTATATGAGCTAATTTTATTAACACACTAATGAATAATTATGCATGTTGTTTGTTGTTGGTGAGTAGTTTGCAATTAACGCAAATTTATTTTTGGAAAATTAACCGTCTCATACAATAAAATTTCGAATATAATAAATTCATCGTAAAATAGAAAATGATATTCTATTCAAATGATAATAATGATTCAACACTATTCAAACGATAATATGCATTATTACAACAACATCAATAATAATGACGTTGGGCTAAATTTCCTCAGGCGAAAGCACTGCCAAAAGAACCATTTGAGAAGTGAAAAATGTTCCGAATGAAGCACGTAATCTGGGATCAAAAGAGGCTTTATAGTCACTGTGAGTGTTATTAATGATGCCGCGTGCTTCTCCTCTGACAAGAAATGTTATTGAAATTGAAGTGATACATATAGAGAGAAATTGTGGTTGAAAATTATAGATTCAGTAAAAAGTTGACTAATAGTTGCTAGTTTTCAAAAATATTTGTATTTAACGGCGCAGCTGTTGATACGGATAATTTTTATGATTTTATACTAATTATGGCCAGCCTGTATAACACGCAAAACGATTTTTTCATGTAATGTCATACAAAGATATTCAAGTTTTAAGAGTTAGTTATACACAATGCGTAGTTAACATTATACCAGTTTTATCTTGAAGAGAAAATACACAGAGTACCAGATTAAAAATGTTATTTTTCAATATTACGATCAGTACTGCACGCTTAGTCCAGAGTTTGTGTTTGCCAACCCGTTGCTTAACAACAAAGTGAGCGGTCGACCTCATCTCTTCTAGGCGCAAGCCTTCGCACCTACGAGTACTATGCAGTATCGAACTGTGCACTTTCTATTAGTAATAGAAAGTCTAGTCTAATAGAAAGTCTAGTAATAAAAAGTTTTTGAGGAGCCACCGCTACACAAGCGGGTTTCTCGCAATTTTAAAAACATGTGTGAAAATATAGCATATTAGATATAATGCACGATTGATTATCTTATTGGAAGCTTTACGGATGATTTTGCTCTGTAAATGAATCGACAGAAATCCGCCGAACGTCGTGCATCATCAGTAAAACAGTAATTTCAATTTTATTAGGAAAATTGGGTATGAACTTCTTCCATTGAATAGAATACTTTTTACGCCCGATGACCAAATGATTGCAAAAAATCCGAAGTTAAACAAGTATTTAATAGCGAAGAAAATTAAAAGTAAATTCACAATATTTTAAATTAAAATGTTTTAAATGTACATGAACATTTATAGAATTTTTCTTGATATTTTCTTTGCTCTTTGGAATTAACATTAAAATCCACGTATTATTGATTAAAACGACATTACATTAATCTAAAAAAACGCTCAGTCAGTACAAAGCCCCAAAGGCCATCATGGGGAAACACATGTTATACCGCTGGTATTACAGTTGCATTTACTCCTACGCAATAATTAGGGTGACACAAAATAACAAGTTTAGAAGACTGGTAGGGTGTGTTTACCGTAGGTATAGTATAGGACAACGACATGTAATAAAAACGATAGGGTATGGTGGCACAAATATCAGATTCGTAAGACTCAGGGTATGTTTACCGTAGTTATTATTA